GGGTGGGCCCCAGAGCCGGTCTGGATGCAGAGGCTAGAGGAAAAATCCTGCCCCCATCGGGGATCGAACCCCGGTCGTCCAGCCCGTAGCTAGTCACTATACTGACTGAGCTATCCCGGCTCGTACAATTATGTTAACAGAGTTTTAAATTAGGTTTTTGTCAAAACCAAAGTAACTTTATTATGAAAACTTTTAAAATTTATTTTGCAGTTAATTATTTTACAGTAAACTGTAACATCGTAATTGGCAACTGAATGACGTCATTTGACAAGCTGTTTGTCCTCTTAGAAGGAATGGTTGAACTTATCTAATCACAGTTAACATGTACAAATATGTATTATGTACAGAGACAGATGACAGTCAATCTGCTATATACATTTAGTATTTTAATTGAATAATTTTACAAGTATGTGTTATTTGTTATTTGTGGTGTGATGCAACGTGGTCGTACTATGTAGCGTCGGACGATAAGGTGATAAATGAAAAATGAATTATGAAAAAAAAAACATAGAAGAAAGTGGTCGTGCACCAATTTAACGTACTATCCGACATTTGCTAGGAGGGATTATGGAATATCGTTAAGCACTTTTAAAGAGGACCCGGTCGATTGTTCCGATTCGGTCTAGTGTTGCACTGTTAACAAAATCATTTTGCTTTTATGACAGGATCACAGAAGTGATATTTTCTCCTTAAATCATCTCTAGGTACCTGTAATTTCTATACGTTTGGTTGTTTGTGAATTTCAAACAAACTCAGATATCCACAATATAGGCCTAAGTACAAGATACAGATATAACCTTCATATGACAAACACTAAACTCAGTAAATATCAAAAAGGAGTTTACTATACTGGAATTAAGCTTTTCAATAATCTTCCCTTGCACTGTAAAAAGTCAGAATCACGAAAAAGAGTATCTCCTATCTCACTCCTACTCCAATGAGGAATTTACTTATACTCGTACAGTAAAACCCCTCAAGTTGGACACCCCTATATCCTGGACACCCCTTTATCGTGGAACTTGATACCCCTTTTGTTGTAAGTTGGACAGGTTCGTGCACTTAACTTCGATGCTTTTCAGGGAAACTTTTTCAGTTACATATTTTGTTATTTTGAATTTCTGACTGATGAATGCCTCCTCTCTGGAGGATTATTTTATGGACATCGAACCCATCATTGGAATGCATTGCAAGTGTTTAACTATTCTTTTGCTGAACCCTTAACAGGACTACAGTTTTGCAGAAGACACAGTTTGCACAGCTTGCATTTGAGTTCAGACTGTGTTAACAGAAAAGGAATTTTTCTTTTTGCGATGGGGAAGCGAAAATTGGTGGAATTAACTTTAGAAAATGTTATTGAGGCTGGGGTATAATGTGCAATGCATGGGAGTGGGCTTCAAAAGATTATTATTAATACTATTGTCATTAATTCTTAATTCAAGTAAGCCTAGTAGTTAGTGTATGTAAGTAAATAGATTATATTGTCATTAGACCACAATCTGATTTTTCTCCTTCCCTCTATCTTGGACACTTCTGTAAGTTGGACACATTTTCGTGGAACCCCGAGTTAGAGAAGTTTTACTGTATTATGAATACATGTAAGAAGTAGTGGTCTTTCTTTCTTGTGTTTACTTATGGTTATTACCTTCAAAGGTACATTGAAATTCTCTTGATAGTACAATGGCGTGATATTTCTTGGGTAATTCACATGACTTGTGTTAATAACGCACAGAACTTAGCTACATTTACTAGCTTATTCATAAATTCTTCACTGTGTAAGGCATGAGCTTCTTTCATAGCCATGATGAAGTCTCTTGTGCATTTTTGCAGTTTCTGCCCATCAAGTACTTCACAAAGTCTTTCAGACTATGAGATATCACCTCAGACTTATTTTCAGTAACAGCTTCCTCTGTATTTGGACTTACAAGACGAATTCGCTCGTTATTATTTGGCGCACGGAATTGTATGAGAAGTGGCATTTTCTGTGACAATTCCTCAACAGTTCTTGGGCTGCTAAGGACGTGAGTCGCCACCTGCTTAGTGCTTTCTTTAATGTGGTTTATGATGAGTTTTTACTTCATTGTCTCTGTGCACAATGAATTTAATTCATTGTCATGTTGATGACTTTGACCTCGAAATGTGGGACCTGGGGCATCCTGCATCACGAATTTTCGCTCATACAAGTCACTCACTCGTCAGCCGAATCCTATCTGATGACGCAGCATTGACAGTTCGTTTCAACCCGTCCGTTGTATCCCTTTTGTTTTCTAACCTTCGCAGGCCTGGACGACAGGCAACGGAAATAACATTTTTGGTTCTTAACCTAAGTTCGTGAAGGCCCCTATTATAAATCAGCCATTTCACTGCCACACGACTCAATGAAGGAAGTTTCGATGTCGTTGTATCAATTGCTTGCGGTAGTTAACAATATTTCAGGGTTTACAGTTATTTTAATGTACAACGACGATGATCATGTTAGAATCACTTTCTTTGCGCAGTTGACTAACTCTCTAGCAATCGCTACGAGAAAATACCAACACTTGACTCTGCGGAAAAATTCACGCAAAATGTTTGCGAGCCTGAGCTGCGTCACAATAAAGGATAGGTGAAAAGGGTTAGCAAGACGCCTTACGCTCTAAGACTTCTGTTCCTTCCCTGCACATGAGCTGGTTGGCCACTAACGCGTTTACAGGCATGCCTCGTTTTATTGCGCTTCGCAGATATTGCGTTTTTTTACAAATTGAAGGTTTGTGGCAAGTCTGCGTCTAACAAGTCTATCGGCGCCATTTTTCCAACATCATGTGATCACTTCGTGTCTCTGTGTCACATTTTGGTAATTCTCGCATTGTTTTTTTAGACATAATGCTATTGCACACTTAACAGACTACAGTATAGTGTAAACATAACTTTTATATGCACTGGGAAACCAAAGAATTCGTGTCACTCGCTTTATTGCGGTGGTCTGAAACCGAAACCACAAAAACTCCGAGATATGCCTGTATTGGAACACTCAACCAACCACTGAGCTATCTTGCGACAAGCATACGGAAACAAGAAAAGATAAGATAGGCATGTTTACATTTATGTGCATTCTATAAGGTCCAATAAATTTGTACCTGTATCGATTTTGTAGTACTGTAAATCGACTGAGAGACGTTTACGGACCAGTGTCCATTTGCATTTCTTACCTGCGGCCTGCCATCTTGAAATGTGTGAAATGCGAAATTGAACCACTCAGTGGATGTCACAGCACGTAAGGGCGATGGAAACTGTTTCTACTGCATTTTATATTAAGAATAGCGGACGAGTAATTCGTGGTCCCTGTGCGTGTGACCTTGGTCCTTCTAGCGACGCAGCTAATACGCTGTTGACGTCTTTGAACCTGTCCCTTGAGCAACGTACGTAGGGACACAAATAACGTAAGCTTGCTCTGACTTCAGGGGGACAGACAGCGTGGCACATGATGCTGCCGACGTAAGCGCCGGGCCTGGCTGCGACAAGGACGCTGAGGAGTACAACATGCGACACCCGAAGCGCGGTGTGGCCCTGATCCTGAACCACCAAGAGTTCGCGGACGTGGCACCGCGTAGAGGGAGCTCGCGGGACTGTGAGAACCTGTGCGCCGAGCTGGAGAAACTGGGATTCGAGACCCGAGTGCACCAGGACCTGACGTACATCGCACTCTCGGCTGTGCTGACGGAAAGTAAGAGACCTGAGCTTCACAGTTGCTTCGGGCTCAAAGCATTTGGAAGTGCCCAGAGCCGCAGACATATCTATCCTTGTTTCCTGTTTAATGTTCAACGCTTGCGCTATTATTCAAAACCTCGTTACCAGGGCAAAGCCTGAGCTCACATTCCTCTTTGTTTATCCACTCGAGGGACACAGAGATTAAAGTAGAAGTTTTTAAATCTTTGCGGCAGTTTATTAAAATTCTTACTACTAAAAAAAATAAATAATTTTCTTTGACAAAATCCTTCATTGTTAAAGAATAAACACGACCTTCCCTTGCTTCACTCTTTCATATCAGTTTTAACTTCTGTTGTTGAGATTCGCTTCATCACTCCGGGCAGCGTGTGCAAATGGCGGCCCGCAAGCCACATCCGGCCCGAGACCAGTAACTAGGCACGACCGTGAAATAATTTTCAATTTGTTATCAGTGCTTGAAGGTCCATTTTTTCTCCGGAGGATTAAAAAAATCGTGATTCTTTTCTCGTCTGATGTTTTTCGTAAACCATGCAAGTTTTTGATGAAAGACTCTCGAGTTACAAGCCGAGTAGAGTTCCCATCGACGAGCGAGCTACAAAGGGCCAGGTTTGCTACGCAGTAGCCCTGAGGATGAGAGCAGACATTGTTCTCGAAACGTTAGCAAAAGATATGGTTTATTCACCATTCAGCTACATGACGCGACTTGTTACCCGAGAGTCCTTCATCAACTTCAGTCGCCGCGAAAGCTTTACTCTATACGTGTAAGTTTTCTGGGTAAAAGCTGTGCCTGATCCAGGCTGTTGCAAGAGTAAATTTAAAATCAAATTAGTTCAAAAGTAATTTGTTTACTTTTAAAAAACAGATACTGGGGTATTAGTCTTGTCGTAAAAAAACTGTTAAAGGTCTTTCTTGGTCGTTTGGTCCAAAGGGAAACTATTCTTGGCTCAAGGAAAGTAAAATTCTGTATCACCAAGCACCAAGTTTTCGCCGGTAGGATGCGTCGTTTTCTTTATTCGACGTGGCTACTCACAGCGACAGACGTTGCCATAAGCTGAACATTTTCTGTTACAATGATTTTGTGAGGGGCGGGGACACGATTTGAATTTATTTTTTAGTGTTCTGTCTGATGACAGGTCCATATGAACAGGATCCTTCCATCCTTTTCTCGGACTGGGACCTGTTCATATACGTTCTTGGCAGATGATCCAGAAGTGGTTTGCCATTGCCTTCTTCTGTGTGTGAATGGAGTAATTGTTGGGATGCCACGGAGAAACTGGGGAAGCCCCCGGAGGAAAACTCCGTGTTGCCTAGACCACGGCCTTGCCCAACACAAGTTATAAATTCGGGCACCTCCGGGAATCGAACCCGAGACCCCAGGATTACAAGACCAGCGTTCTAACCGCTAGACCACCGTGGCAGGTCACGATTTGAATACAAAGCGGTAATCGATCAGTCACATCTTATTTTTTGACGTTGTATCACTCTGAAAGTCTACGGAGTCCATATTTGTTGGTGCAAAATCTTCTTCTACAGAAATTTAAGAAGAAAACACTTTAATTTTTTATTATTTCTCTTACTTTGAAGTTTTAAACTTTCTATAGAATAAGTAAAACTCCTGATGTCGATGCTGTAGGTCTATTTATCTTAGACGTTTGACTTACGTTTATCTCCGCCGAAGTTGGAAAGTGGGAACAGTTAGGTATTAGCTTTGAGCTCGCGTCTTTGTAAAGCCACTTTCTTCTGAAAACCGTTGACGAAATCGAAAAGACGTGACTAGTAATCCAACGTCACACATCCACGGTGGGCCCTGAATCTCCTGTACACACGTGTCCTTTGATTCCACTCAGGTCCTCTGTTTTCAAAGATACTTGAGAACTTGCAGTATTTTGCTGAGACTCATTCACCGAAACTCAGAATAACAGACCAGATCGTCACACTGAGATCATACTTAATTTAAATAAGGTTTTGAGCTGGTCGTGGTTCAGCCGTCTAGACCGAATAAAATATGCGACATTTATCACGTGCTGAAAGCTAAATTTGCTTGGTACAGTTTTCAGTGAAACGTTAAAATATAATTGTTCCCGGATTCCTCTGCGTTTTCTTTAATGTTATACTTTCGGCGTGGTTGGTGTCATAATGCGTCTTAAGGTTCGTTATATTTCGTCACTGTGACCGTCTCTTTGCAAAATAAATAAACCGCCTTCTTTTTAAGGTTCATTCTGAAATACTCGAGCCCCACTTTCCTTTAAAACACCCGCATTACTTCTGCCTCTTTCCTTTCCTTATTTGTCGGAGCAATATTTGAGTAAATAGAAACTGAAAGACGCCACCACTTCCGTCGACGACATGACCAAGTGAGGTCTTTGCTGGGCTAGGGCCGTGTGATCTGGCTACTTTCTCTGTGATGTTTACAAGCTCGCTTTGCCTGTGGCAATTACAATACAATGACCAGGTGGCACTTAGAGGCAGCAAGGGTCACTCAAAATTCGGTAAATATTTACTACATCCCAACAAGATGTCTTCTTGTAATCGCATTCGCCAGAATGTAAATCTCACTTTATCATAATCTGACCTACCTCATAGAAAAATCATCGCTTCTTCATTACAGAAATAAATTCGTTAATGCTTAATAAAATATTCTCTGGCAATCAGCCGCGTAAAGTGGTTACCGTAGTAAACTGACGTTTCGGAAACAAACTCTGTTCCCATCTTCAGGGTTCTGATGTGACTGGATTCTCAGAAGTCGCATCAGAACCCTGATGATGGGGTCAGAGTTGGTTCCCGAAACGTCGGTTTACTACGGTAACCAGTTAACGCGGCAGATTGCCCTAGAAGATTTAATTGATTTAAAATACTGCCAATGCGGTAGTGGCCTATTTTAAGGCATTACTGCAGAACTTTTATGAGAACTCGCCGAGAAAGTCTCAAATCCTATTAAGTTAATGCTGTTTAGGAAATAATTTGTCGTTATTCTGAGAATCGCAGGATACCAGTAAATATTTCTGTGATCAGAATACTTACTGAACGATAAAACATGCTTTGGGTCCCCCCCCCTTCCTCGTCCTTGATGGCTTCGAGCACGTGGTACTTTCTCCGTTGTTCTTCGTCTCACTTATGTAAGCATAAACGGGTCCTAGTTAATCCGTGTTTCATGAGCAGAAGCATTTGTTGCTAGAGAACAGAAAGAAGTTCTTCTGCTAGCATTGTGCAACGGACAACTTTTTACAAAGTGTAACGCCATCTTCGTAGCCTTAAGCAGTCGATGCCATAAGTCTCATTGCGTGAGACGAAAGTATTACAACAGCGGGTCCGTAACCAGCTCGTATCTTCGCTTTATCCTTTCTCTCTCTCTCTCTCTCTCCTCTGTGTGTTTTTTTTATAGAATCTCGTATGTGAAGAAATCGTAACTCCTCTGCTAGTTTCACAGCTTCGTTGGGCATATTTGTCTCCTGACATGAAAACCAGTTCCGAGAATGTTAAATAAATAGCTTCGTACACCAGTGAGTGGGTGATTTTCTTATTTGGTGGTTTGTTTAACGATGCTTTCAGTAGCTCAGTTTACTAGGTTGCTGACTCAGAAGATTATTTACGTGTGTAGACTGACTGACTGGCTGGATAATTTGACGGTGGCGTAGCTCAGGTTGTTAGCAGCCGCTTTCTAACAGCGGAGACCTGAGTTCCATTCCATGGCAGACCACGTAGGATTTGTGGTGGACAAAGTGGCACTGGGACAGTTTCTTCTCCGAGTATTTCGGTTTTCCCTGTCAGTAACATTCCGGGTTAAAAGGCCCGTTAGCGTTGCTAATTAATGCCAAACCTCGCTTTTGCTCACGATCTTGATCTGCGTTCATTCTCACAGATTGTTTCCGCAAGATCCACTTTTATTGCGTTCTCGGGTTTCCACCGCGGTCTTCGAAGTGGCAATTTTCCAAGAGGTTTCCTTGTTAAAATTCTACAAGTATTCCACCACTACCCCAGAAATAATGGGTTTTCTGTATGAATCTACTGTGCGGTGTACCAAATTACCCTTCGCTTTCTTTGTCCTGGTTGTGTTTTGTTTGCAAGCAGTTGTAATTCCTCGCCCAAAGCAAGAGACACTTTCTGAACTCAGAATTATAATTTATATAAACCATATCCCTGTAGTTTATTTTTCGTTGTTTGGAAAGTACATTCATTTTAACATCGTTTTATTTCTGTCCACAGAATAAGTGAATGTAATACACAGATGTAGATTTCGTCGTAGGGTCGTCATCTTCAGCGTAATTACCAAAATATGTATATCATTATACGTCATTCTACTACGTATGTATGGGGTAAAGGAATCTGGATAAATATGAGCCACATTAGGAACATTTTTATGGCTGAGGTTTTGCGGCATTCAGTTTTATCGTCAATAATAAAAACTATGCCTCTGTCACATTGCTCACATTACCGTAGGTTGTGTACAAGAGAAATCGCTTGGATCTCCGAAGTTGTCAGCAACATGGAAGGTGCAGATCCGAGCAAAACACGAAATTCGCTTCTTTACTTATAACGAATAGCAAAAGAAAGCAACTGAACTTTCTTTTGTTCTCTTTGCATGAATATATTTCCTGTTGTGTTTCGCAGTATTCCGAAACTCCAAACATTATTCTTCCCAGATCTAAAAGTTCGTGATGATGGTGAGTTATTTAAATAAAAAGTTCTTTGAATATTTTCCATCGTCTAAAATAATAAAACACACAATAAAATAGATAGAGCCCCATCTCTGAAACGTCGTTTAAATTTATTGTGTGTCTTATTATTTTAGACGATGGAAAATATCCAAAGAACTTTTTATTTAAATTATTCTTCCCGATTAAATTGCAAAGAGTAATTAATTATTTCATTTACATTCTTATTGTAATTGACAAAGTTATGACGCTTCTAAAATATTTACTTACATTTTTTATTTATTTAGTGTTCTGTCTGACGACAGGTCCATATGAACAGGATCCTTCCATCCTTTTCTCGGACTGGGACCTGTTCATATACGTTCTTGGCAGATGATCCAGAAGTGGTTTGCCATTGCCTTCTTCTGTGTGTGAATGGAGTAATTGTTGGGATGCCACGGAGGAAAACTCCGTGTTGCCTAGACCACGGCTTTGCCCAACACACGTTATAAATTCGGGCACCGCCGGGAATCGAACCCGAGACCCCAGGATTCCTTAAAAATTCATGGCGATTCTTTGTGTTCAATCCAAAGCCTGTCTGCTTCCTTCCACACAGACCAAGTTTTCTCTCTTAATTTACATGCTCTTCAGAACTGAATGCTGTCTTCATGATACTATTCCTCACAAGAATCTCATCTGACCCATTGATCTCCTCGGTTTTGTCATCACTAAATTTCGCATTGCATGAAATACAGTTTTCTTCTTGAACCAAACTTTTCTCTTAACTGTTACTGCCCCTTTCCGCGTGGACGCAGACGGACGATGTTGGATTTAGCTGTGATTTTCATCGACTTCCTACTTTTTTGGGGTCTGTATCGATTGGGCCAAACAAAGTAGGTTTTGCCTAAAGACGGAGATAGACTCCAATCTCCTAAACGTCGTGTTTTATTGGTTTTATTTTGTCTTGGAGATGGGTAATGTCCAGAAAATTGTTTGCTTCAACAACACACGATCGTCACAAACCTTCAGATGTGAGATCGATTAAAACTGGTCTCAATCACCATTCGCCCGCATCTACGAGTCAATCATTTTACGCGGTTTTGTAAGTGATCAATCTCCCTGCAGCTGCAGAATCAGAAGCATCACAAGCGGTATTTCGTCTTTTTTAAATTTGCACAACGTGTTACATTGTAGTGTAACTTAAAATCGACCCCCGTGGAATAAAAAATAAATTGTTGCATTTCTTTCTAAATTTTAGACAGTTATTTTTCATTTTGGAACGCATTCTTATTTTACCCATGTACGTAAAAGTCAAATCAGTTTAAGCTGCGATTTCTCGAAACCAATCAATCGCGTAATGCGAGGGACACCGTCGGAACCTCGAGTTTGGTTATGGCAGGATACGCTGGGATGTTGGTAGAACCAAAGGAATGACAAATACGTAGCACATTTTGACGAGAAAATTTCCAGGAACACATGAAGACTTGCTTGGAGAACATCGTTTGTGAAGATGGGATGTGCGTGGAAATCTCAGAGGATCGCGTGCAGTGACGGCCTCTGGTCCTTGCGTTGTTGAAACTTTGGGCTGTGCTTTCGAAGTGTTGGTTGCTTAGTTACGCAATGCGTTTCTGTCTTTTCACTTTACATCGACACCGATTGTTCACATCGTGTTGAAGTGTTCTCCTCAGTAATTTGCTTCACGTGCGACACAGCCACTGATTTCCCTTTAACAGCAGTTGGAATTTCCACGTGAAAAGTAATATTCTTATGTGTACGTCGACATAATAATAATGATTGCCATGATCTCTCGCAATGGATTTCCTGCGTTGTGGGTTGACCTGACCATTGTCTGTAGTGCTGTAAGTATTACAACTGTTACCATGGAGATGCTGTTACGGACTTCTCGATCTTACGCTTTGCATCACTGACCATATCAGAACTGACCCCTGCCTCTGTCCATAGTTAATTGCTTTTTTTATTTTCGAAAATAGAATTTTATGGTCTGTTACTTACTTTGCATGAGCCGGGATAGCTCAGTCAGTATAGTGACTAGCTACGGGCTGGACGACAGGGGTTCGATCCCCGACGGGGGGCAGAGGATTTTTCCTCTAGCCTCTGCGTCCAGACCGGCTCTGGGGCCCACCCAGCCTCCTATACAATGGGTACCGGGGTCCTTTCCCGGGGGTAAGGCCGGCCGGGGCGTGATTCCGACCACTCACCCCCATCTAGTGCCGAGGTCAAGGAAGAGAGGAGCTATGCCTCCACTCCCCCCAAACGCCTACATGGCGTATAGTGTGACAAACTTTACTTTACTTTTTACTTACTTTGCAGGTGAAAGTGGAAACCTGTAGCATTGGAACACATATTAATTCACAGTGGGAATTTATTTGCGTCAGGTTGCCGAAACGTCGGTTTTCTACGGCCACCTGGTGAGGCTGATTTTCCATGAAGAGCTCATTGCAGTAATTTGCAGCGGAAACTACAGATGATAAGTTGACTGTTTAGAATTTCAGCCTTATTTCTGGAAGACAGCGAGAAGACAATACGTCGAGTGTCATGTGTTCTGAACTGAACAACTCGTGACCAATAATCATGTCACATAGTCTTCCACTTCTGTGCGTTATTTCCATTGGCACGAATTTCGAATGCGTTACATTGGTAATATGTTGATTTAAAATTTCCCCTACTATTCTGAAATTGTTCAGATTTTCTCAAAGCTTCGAAATTGTTTTTCTTTCTTCGTATATCGTAGATTCTTAAACAACTTGGTTGCATTATGTAGGATAAGAGGTTTTCACGGCGGTGAGTCTGAATATGGCTGTCTTCTGGATTGTTGCGCCGTTTCAGAGGTCCTTGCTGCCTCCATCATCAGGGCTATGACATGGACCTCTGAAATGTAGATAAACCTTTACCAGACTACACGACGACAGCCATCTTCAACTTGGGTCATATTCTTTCACAATGTTTGGCAGTGTTCTAATTTAGACCTTTTTTACATTTAGATATTGTTTGTACTAAATTTGTCACATGTGTCCATTTTAACATTTTTCTACAATTGATGTTTCAGTGTGTCTGTTTTATCCAAAAAATTGATTTTTTTCATTTTGTACATTTATCAGAATTTCGTTTTTTTCTGCTTGGTATCAGATGTGTTCAATCTTTAAAATACAAAAAAATATATAAATACAATCAGAAAAAAGTAATTATTTTTACCGATCTGTTTAAACACAGACGTTGTAACAGTGCGAAATATAAAGAACAATACTGAAATGAACTAGACTCTGTGTCGCAACAGTCCGTGAGAGTATGGTGACCAGCTTTGGTGGGTCATCACGTGGTCAGCGCATCGACTCCCATCGCCGTGTTTCAGGCTTTCGTGACCAGGGTCCGCTACCCTTTCACAAGCAGCTCATTTCACATCCTCTTTTTTTTTTTTAAAAAAAAATACCGTTTTTATCGGGGCTGTGCAAATGGGGGGAGGGGTGCTCTGAGTGAGGCGCACCGGACCCCCGAATCTAGGGGGCCACTATCGGTAAAGCACAAAACGTTTAATATTTTTAATTATAAATGATAATATAATTTGGTCATTGGTTGCCACAGAAATATAGAAACCTGCACATAATAAGAAGAAAGGAAATATTTCGCGTGACCCGGTCTCTGGATTTGGTTTATTCATTGCGGCGCGGTTTAATATTTTCTTATCTCAAATAAGTAAGGGGCCCCGATTTCTTCTTCCGCCCGGGCCTCTAGTACCTTTGCGTGACCATGATATTTATCATTGTAATTTTACGTAATAAAATTCGTGCCTTTTTGACAAAATTAACTTTATTGGGGGCCCCAGGCTGGCGCCTCATGCGTCTGTGCCTAAGTACGGCCCTGTTTGTAGTGCATTTTACTGTAGACATTCTAAGCGTTACCTCAATCAAAGTTGCTTGTTTTTGCACTGTGCACATACGTATTTTCGATGACAGTCATCTTAGATTAATTTATGACGGGATTTGATGTGTTGTCATTGCATTTAACCTTTCACCGAGTTTAATGTAAATTAGCTAATTAGATCTGTGAGGTCTAGTGATAATTATATGTACCGTCTTCCTTAACAATCAGTGACGGGTTTTGCACCCTCTAAGTTCTTATGTGTTTGGTATAGATCTCAGAACAAACAGAATAATGGTGACTTGTGTTTTCTTTGATGTTAGAACTGAATTTTCGTGGCTTTGAAACATTAATTTACAACAGTTTGTTGATTTTTTGAGCAAGAACTTACGGATTTTGTTGCCGGAAGACACAAAATGATCCTCTCTTTTGCATTATTTCATTGAATTGCAGTTTGTTACAACGACAGGAAAACCTGTGTTTGAAGGTATTTGGCTCGGACCGGCGTGCGTTCGAAGAACTCCCAAAAGTGTTCCGTCGTCTTGAGGCCAATTCTAGTGGCCCTTGCCCCGTTGTACTGATTCTCTTTCTTTGTCGTAATATAATTCATATGATTCTTCTGGATCTGCGCTCATTACCTCGTTGGCTATTAAGTCGAAGGACTTGTGATTGTTTCACAGCAGCGCTGGAGGACCACAGCACGGCAGACTGCATCATGGTCATTGCGATGACCCACGGGGATTCCGGTTACTTGCACAGCCGAGACACCGTCTACCACACACAGGAATTGTGGCTGCACTTCACAGGAGACATGTGTCCTACCCTGGTCGGCAAACCGAAAATCTTCTTTATACAGGTAAGAGAATCCCCTGATCAATATTGGACAGGGCAGGACACGCTTTGTCAGTCCTTGGTTGCCAGCCAGCGAGCAGGATGACTGAGCGTTTCTCACAGTGTAAGCAGAACACTAACAGGAAGGGGCGTTGGTTTCGCGCGCGCGGTGTTCAGAACAGGAACGCTGAAAGTTCTTCGTCTGAACTCTTCCCGAGAGAAATTTCACACGAATTCACTTACACGGGATTGAATGACAAGACATTAGAAGTTTGTCATTGCAGCGCGGTTACAAATTTTCCATTTGTAAGATTTGAGTTTTTCACAGCGGTGAGTATGAAGATTTCTGTCTTCTGGGTTATTGCGCTGTGTAGTCTGGTAGATGTTTACCAACGTTTCAGAGGTCCATGTCATCGCCCTGATGATGGAGGCAGCAAGGACCTCTGAAACGTCGGTAAACTTCTACCAGACTACACGTCGCAATAACCCAGAAGACAGAAATCTTACTCACCGCTGTGAAAACCTCAAATCATTTTAATTTCCCTTCGATGTCACTGTGCACTTCTTTCTGCAGGCCTGTCGAGGGACAATGGTGGACTCCGGAGTGTCAGTCGATGTGACGGACAGCTACACCACATCGTACGTCCTTCCTACGCAAGCGGACATTCTCATAGCTTATTCCACAGTGGACGGTACGGATGGTAATGCTATTAATCGAAATGTAACTTTGCTCCTTGAGTTGCAACTGGAACAGTCGAATTCCGTTTCCAGTTGCGAAATGGCCAACAGGACTTTAATCGCCCGCACTTCCTTGAGCTGTCTGTCGCTAGACACAGAGCACCTGCGTAAGGACTTCGGCGAATTTTCAGCACCGCCTTTTGAATTCTTTCACAGATACAGTTACATGCGCATATAGATTATTTTACTCGTTTTAAGGAGCACATCGAACAGTTTAACTGCGTAATTTCACTTCGGAGCACACTCATCGACGTGGCATTGCATGCAGTAGACGTTAAGCACCCATGACAGGCAGTTCGTGGCGTAGGTGGGTAATATTGGCTGGGTTATTCAGCCGACACAACGCTAGTACTCGTCAAATGTACCCTGCAAAATTAGCCTACATAGTTAGATACTCCTGCATAACAATTCCACATTTTACGACTACCTACAGATATTAAACCACTTTCCTGTCAGCTAAAATTCTTCCAAAGGTTTATTTACATCCTGGAGTAAGGCGACCCTTAAAATTAATTAAAGTTAGAAAAGTAAGCCTATACATTTCTGTGTTTGTCGTATTGAAGTTCTGTGCATCATCACCTTTTATCATATCGTAGCTTGTCCAGTGACTCAGAACAGTTAACTATAGAGACTCTTCAAATGACTCGATAGACAAGATATGTGAAGATTGCAGCAGTGAATGCTTTGCTAAATATGGTCATTTGTCAGACTTTGATGTCTTCTTCGAACTCCTGATCCGTTTGAAAATCAAGACTGTATTTGCGTCGCTACGTAAGATAGGAAGTTATCAGAGAGGTCATCTTTTATACGGAAATGGCTGAAGAAATTGTCCAGAGGTGAGTGCTTCTAGTGCAGAAGTTTTGTTTGCAGTGCAGAGGTTAGATTTCTAACAATTGAAGCCTACGAGTAATTTGCCCGGCTATTTTTTTAAGTTCTACAGAAGGACTGAGGAGGATACGATGACGCTGCAAGCGTCTATTACTGATCAGAAGAATTTGAATTAGATGTCAGTTTGTTTAATTCCCTAAACTTTTGTATAATTTCTTAATATCAACTTCGTTCCATTTTATTTTATCTTTCTCCCAGCGACAGATTCTTTAGTTTAAATTAGTTTCAAAGTTAAGTGTGCACATAGTTGTTGACATTGGGGTTCTTGAGTGACAGACTTTAAGTCCTGATGTTCATCGAGGCTTGGGGGAGAAACTGACTCTAGTAAAAGCCGTAGTTCTATTGCCATAGGCTATTGTGAAAACTATAATGACAGCTAGTGCATCATGACCATCACCTTTCGGGCGACAAAGGTTAGCTTTGTCAACTTGTCAGGAAATTCTGATATTTTCAAGACGGTTCTAATTTCGACTCCAAAGCTCAACCAAGGAAAAAATTAGTTCAGGATTCTCGTGAGTCTGTGTCCAGCTTCCGCCGCCACCCTAAACGTACCAGCAAATCATCCCAACACCCTTAATTAGCCCCTACATAAACCGCAGCCAAAGGAGAGAGCAGCAACCATCAGCGCCTTCGAAGAGGCGAGCCAGTACTCGACCGGTTACCACGTGAGTGCACGCCACTCCGCATGTCTTCAGTTGTGTTAGAAAAGGGATAAACAAGTTAGAATGTTGAATTGTGTAATGAACAGCAACAAGTCTTAATAAGTGGAAACAAAACTAGTGATTCTACACGCCCCATTCGTTGTCACGTGTTCAAGTACTTCCTGTGATTGCTGTTACTCTGACAGGGACTGGCCTAGATGATGGTGCGTGTTCTTCGGCGAAGCTTAGACATTTCAGTTATTATTGGCCCGTGCCAGTTAATACCGCTGACGCCTAAAGTACTCATGAAACTTTTACCTGCTATCGGTCATTCTGAAGCTATCGAGTTAGTACGTTTCGTCATCCGACCAAATAGGTCAACTTGCAGGGTGCCTGAGCTGCGACTCTGACGGGTCACGCGTCTATGACGCTGCCAACCTGGGGCTAAGTTACATTGCAATGCATTACAACGCCCAGAAGAGACGGGGAAAAGAACCAGATGGATATCTGTCGAGCAGAGGCCGTCCGGAGGCGCAGCGTACTTGCTTCGGGAAAATCTAACTCGTCGCTTTCCGTGATTCAGGTTACTACTCGTGGCGGAATCCTCGGTCCGGCTCGTGGTTCATCCAGGCGCTGTGTCACGAGCTTCAGACCCACGGTCGGACGCGCGATCTCTTGACCCTGCTGACCTTCGTTTGCCGTCGTGTGGCCATCGACTACCAGTCCACTGTTCCAGGTGACGAGAACATGGACCGGAAAAAGCAAATCCCGGTCATCACATCTATGCTGACGAGACTTGTTTATTTCGGCCAAAATCAGCGGGTGTGAGGCCAACGGACTGTGCGCCCACTTCGCTCGGGAAATATTATCACGAATCAAGTAAATTTATTCAATCATTTTATCGGTGTTGAAACCACCCTTTCCATCTATTTGACCACAAACTGGGCGCCGTTCGAAAACATAATATGCATATATATTTAATATTCAAGTCTATACACAAACTTTTAAATTGTTGATGTTAAAATTTAAAATTAATATTAATATTCTGCGCCATTTATCGTTATCTCGATGTTACATTATTGCGCTTTATACTACTACATGTTTCAATGTCATAGCATCATCTTCAGGTTTTTTATCTTTAAAACTACTCTATATTTATTAATGAAAGCTTTTCATTGATTGTAGATGTAGATTACTGTTGTGGGTGTTCCTTTAATCTTCTTATTATTTTGCATATTATGTTGCATATTATGTTAGTTGTTCATTATTCTGTGAAATTATTAACAATATAATTAACATTTGAGTTATTAATATTATTTATATGAAAATGAGTTTGGATATTGTCATAAACATCAACAATTTAAAAGTTTGTGTATAGACTTGAATAATAAATATATATTTGAATTTTAAAACACAAACATGACGCATCTAAACTATAAACATAATATGCATAATTAAATGATGCTATCAGTATAACCGACAGTTATTGTTTATTATAATTTTAGCCCTAATTCGGTTAGCACGTCCAAAGCGTCAAATCGGTAAGTCCGATATTTCAATGATTCAGTAATTTCTGTATTATTCAACTACGCTGTTGCGCCTGGAACCTATTCCCTTCAAAGTTAAGCTTTATTTACACCTGGCAAAACACAGTAATCTGTACCAGTAACTCCCAGGTGTCCACTAGGCCTGTAAGTATTTAAGTTTATTGCCAAATTCTCCTCATTAAAATATGAAGCGAAAACTGAGTCGCTTCTAAAGCAGTGGTATTGAACCTTTTTTGTTTGCGTACCCCCCGATATTAATTTCTCTTCAACTTTGTACCCCCAAAGTTGTTGGTATATAATTCAAGTTATACATAGTATATAATCTACATCTAAAATAAATTAAATAAATTACATTACTGATTATTCAGTGTTTATCATAAAATAATATATATATTTTTTTTTAAATTTCACGTACCCCCTAAGATGTCTTCGCATACCCCAGGTTGAATACCAATGTTCTAAAGCATAGTGTTTTTCGTGCATTGATATCATGGACACTGTGTCAAGTACGGTACATCACTACAGTGCTGAGACGTACGTCTCATCCTCTTTGATTCTGAACCCAATGTCCAGGAACAACAACTTTACCCTCCGTGAGCCGAGTGTCGGTTGCACCCATGAGGAGTTGGAACTCGGCACGCCACTAATCCCATTGTCGTCACTAATGACGTCTTGATTTGCTCGCACAGAAAGCTCGTTGGTCAGTAACAGGAGCTGACGCTGAGTTTCCTCCGACAGTGCAGCGAAGTCTCTCTCTGCTTCAGTCAGAGAGATGACAGCTTAAGTTTTGAAGCCAGCAATCGTGGCCAATTTCAAGAGCAGCTTCAACATTCTCCTAGTTCTAGTGAGGAAAACAGTACGGTTAGGGTCCGACCAGGTAATTCCAGCGAAGCTGTTCGGCCTCTTTGGCGACGTAACGGTCTACATTGCAGTGTGTCACTGTGCAGTTTGAGGAGAGAAAACTCTTTGTACCTACAACAAATTAAATTTACGAGCATGGAGGAGTGCTAATTCGCAAAGAATACATCTCGAAACGTTACTCCCCTTGTTTCATTATTATATGAATTCATTTGACCGTGACTTTCAATATGTAGACCTAGTCTCCATTTGTAGTGGGTGAAGCTAATACAATCTCGATCTCTCTAAGTCCTGAGGTTTTTGAACAAGGTTTTCGTACCTAAAACTATTCATTGTCTTGAATCTTTCCATTTTCCTTGTTTAAAAGAGGGAACCACGACGTTTCGGAAACTGGCTGTCTCCGTCACTGGAAAAGATATGCCATCGAACTGTCTCAACATATTCACCTGGGTACAGTCTTGTCAGCAGATGATAGTCAGAATATGGTAAAATAAGAATTATAGGACCATTCATAAAACTGCAAAAAAAGACCAGTAATAATTGACACCGAATGAAACTGAAAACGATGGGTTATTCTATGTATTATTGTTATACAGATAAGGTCCATGCTGGAAACGGCAAAGCCATCCTTTCCTGACTTGACCAACAAGGATTTCAAAGCCGTGAGATCTCTAAGACTCGACAAAGACATTAGGATTCTGCTGGCAGACAAGGGCAACTGTACTATCATATTGGATGAGTCTGTGTACAAGAAATTACACATGCTACTGGAATCAGGTGTCTCTGAACCATTGTCTAAAGACCCAACAGCTACAGTTGGGAGAAGAATGCAAAAATTTCTTTCAAAACACAAAACCATTCTCTCCATGGGTCTGAAACGCAGTAAACCGCCACATTTATTTGGTCTGCCCAAGATCCATAAACCGGACGTTCCTGACCAATAGTTCTCCATGTCATGCGTTGGCTGGGTTTCTACACAAGATTCTGAGTCCTCTAGTCGGGAGAACGAAGTCCTTCGTAAGAGAACTCTGAGCATTTCGTACAGTTATTGAAGTCAGTCTTCAAAGCTCGGATACTCTTGTCAGTTTTGATGTTGTTCGTCTTTTCATCAACGTTCCAGTTGACGAAGCTCTACAGGTTATCAGGACCAAGCTTCGGCTTATCGAGCTGTTTCGGCAGCAGTTTACAGGGAACGTCTGGCCTGCAGGTTCACAAATCCTTTCTTCCCTGTAAAAGCGTTTTCTGTTGGATATTTAAGGATAAAAGTTTCTGTACAGGTATGTTCTGAAATAGAACAACGTTATTATAACCGAATTCTGAGAGGCTTGCACATTCCCTTTCTGTTGTAAGACACGAACCGTGTTCCACGCGCAGCATAACACATCCCAGATACGGAAGTCGCAATTCACACGTCAGAAATTCGTGTTTCTTTGTTTGCCTAGTAACATAACCTAAACGTTTGCTGAAGACTCTTCAATGGAAAGAGTTGCCGTGTCGAGACCGAAAGGCCAACAAGCCACACTTAACCTACTGACATTTTAATCAAGAGTGAATGTTAGGAAGAGCGAAAGAAGCGAATGAGGTCGAGTGTAGACCACCAGAGGGCCGGGTCCATGGCACGTGATCAGAGGGCGTCACAGCTTGCTGGCGAGCCAGCAGATGGGCAGGGAGGTATCGCTTGACCAGATTCTGCTTGCTGTCAATGGAAATGCACTACGCACTCTGCTGGTGGACGGCGCTAGACTGAAATGTAGTGTTTCAAAGCGCGATATCCAGAGTATGGCAGGAACAAATTTACCGTGGTGGAGTGCTTGGTGCCCACGAAGACTTACGTCAAATGGTTGGGAAAAAACCTTAACATAATGTACATCCGCTTCCTTCAATATCCTCTCCTCTTTAACATTCAGGAAAATCCTACAATTCGACCCACCTGCCTGGAGGGGCTAAGGAAAATCATGATAAAGAAGTCCGGATGGTCAGCTGCCGGGTACAGAATGGAACTGGGGACCGCCCGAGAATGAAACGTCTTGCATCTGTCGTACGCAAGGGGCAGTAAGTCAGTGCCAGCGGAACGCTTTCAGTTGTGTGAGGTTAGAATCTCGATGGGATGGCCGTGGTCTTCGGTCTGAACGTGAACCGCAGGATACGACCATGCCCACTTGTTTGCAAATCCTTACGGCGATCAGGCTAATCACAAATCTATTTCATCATCTCACTTTATTTGATGTTATGTAGCCTATCAAGTTCAAAACGAGCTTCTTAGGTTTTCCGAAAAATAGGTACAAAACAATTTAACACAACGTACGATGCAGATGCAATTAATATTTGTTTTATCAGAAATAGTTTTGTGGTAGTTCAACAGAAACATAAGCGAAAGAACGTTTAGGACCGTAACAACTGGACCGAGCGGTTGAAACTCCTGCTTTTTTCGAAAAGTTCTGGATTCAAGATCGGCTATCATATCTGAAGTTCTTCGTGGTTTTGCTCATTCACTTCAGATCCTACATATATCATTACTCATCCTTAACATTTAACGTTACTGAAAGCTTTAGCTACTTACAGCGTTGTTAAATAAACTACAAATAAATAAAAAGAACGGTTAATTTGAATCTGTAGAAAAGGGAGGAACATCACGAATAGCGAGATATGAGAGAGAATAAAGAACGTGGCTGTATTCCACCGGAGCTTCCCCAGACACCATCTGACTTTCACTCTCAACGCCATTACCACACCAAAAGGTCTAAGACAGGTCAAAAGGTTTGTCATTTTCACTGTTCCACATTTGTGTGGTTACGCTGGAGGAATGGACATCAAAACACGTGGAACTTTCCTGCCCGCATTCATTTTTATGCTGTCGTTTTTGAACAGGGTAAATGTCATTTGGAATTTACGTAAAAGCGAAACTATACTTTTCTAAGGACTGCTTGTTAATATTGACGCTACTAAGATAGAGCATGTGCAAGTCTGAAAAGACTGCAAGAATTTGAAATTTAGAAATTCTTGCTTTGAGGAGGGGCTAATAAGAAGAGAAGAAATATCTATGAGAATCAGTGAAGGAAGAATGATTACTGCTTGCTTAAATTCCATATGGTGGGATCAATCAGGCCTGACACATTGGAATAACCGTGCTGTGTGCACGTTAAGAGCACAAACAACTTTAAATGGGGAAAAGTGCAGACTTGTTGGGAATTAACAGACTATAATCTGATGTAATAATAATAATAAATAATCCGAAACAAAAATGGAACTTGTCTCTTAATTGATATAGTAACACGACTGACAGGAATGTGATTAAGAAGGAAGCAGAGAAGATCTTGAAATACAAGGACCTTCTCATAGAAATACAGAGAATGTGGAAGGTTCAAGCAAAAATATTTCCAGTAGTTATAGGGGCAACAGGAACTGTCTCCAGGTCGCTCAGGAAATATTTGGCCAACATCCCGGGCGAACACGACGTCAGGGAACTTCAGAAAACTGCAATTTTGGGAACGGAAGTATATACCCCATAAAGTGGTGAATAGATGGGATAATAATAATAATAATAATAATAATAATAATAATAATGATAACAGGCTTGTCGAAAGATTTGACGTTCGCCTTTCTGCAGTCGGTTGGACTAAAGTCTCAAACCGAGGGTTTCATCTTCGCGTGCCAAGATGGTGTTGTAAACACACTTGTGTACCGCCGAATGGTGATGGGTAGTGGATAATGTCTGCAGGGCATGCCGAATGCAACCAGAGACGCTGATGCGTCTTCTGTCTGCATGTAGACACTGTGCCAGCTGTGCCTACATTCATCGACATAACGCTGCTTTTCGTGTACTCTGTTACCACCTGAGACACTTTTACGCATTGATAAGACTCCCGTTTTTCCGTACGCCCCTGGGGACACTGAGTTCGTTGTTGAAAACGATAAATGTAAAATTTATTGGAACTAATCGTTCCCGACTACCAGGCAGTTAACAGCCACTAAGCCTAACATCGTTCTCATCCATGTCTCCGGACGCACTATATATGCCCCGGCTGAAACAAACAGCTGTGAAGGAGACTGAACAACGAACCATGTATCAAGACCTTGTTTGAACTAAGACAGCTGTATCCCGGATTTACTGTCAAATTAATCGTCCTTATAATTGGAGTTGCTGGAGGAGTCAAGGCGTCACTGCTGCTAACATTAAGCTTTTTCCGGCATGCCAGCTTAACGCTGAAGCATTACTCAGCCGGATACAAAAGGCCGTGCTTCTTGGGTCGCTCCGACTACTGCGTGCACACTGCAGCCGCCCATCTCGTGGTTCGAGCCGTGGCTACGGTTTCACCTGATCTGCTAGCAGTCGAGTCATGACGGCCAAAAGCCCGAAGTGTTTGGCTGTTTGTGGACCAACCAAACAATTGATTCATAATAATAAGAACAACAAATAATGCAAAAGATTGGAAGTGTATGGACATGTAATGAAATAGAACAGGATAGATAGCCCAAAGTATTGGATATGTGGAACCCCACCATGTGACTGCGGAAGAATTTGCTGTGGACAAAAGCATATGATGGCAGCAGTGGCGTGCATCATGTCAGCCAACTGTTGCTAAATAAAACGTTGCCAAAGAGGGTGATGCGAATTTCCACTTCTTCGCCCCCTTGCAAATGCCGAGAGGATTAGCTCTCTCAGACTCGAGGAATCGGAAGCCCTGGCCGACGGCTTGGAGCTTCAGTTACAGCCACTGAACCAGTCGTCGCAGCCGGCATTTATCGACTCGCCGTCAAAGGGCCTACACAAACGGCTAACCGCCTCAATCTTCATGGGTTTCCACTCTTCGCCGACCACATTACAGCACTGACAGTTTCGACTCAAGGTAAGCTGATGGAGGGAACCCCTTATTTCAGCAACTTGGAAAGCTTGCTGACCAAAGTCACCCACGGGCTACCGGGGTGACTCTGTTCAGCTGACCAGCCGATGAAGACTCAACGTGTGGTGTCTATATATTCGGCTACCCTGACTTGGATTTCCCACGCTTTTTCTCAGTTACAAGGCAGGTGCCAAAGTACATTTTAAAAGGGGCATTGCCCGTCTCTCCCAGTCTTGGAGACCTTCAGCTAATGTGATTCCCCTTCCCCTAGCCAAGTTACAGAGGCCATCAGTAAAACGAGTCCAGTGCTTCTGGTTTCGGCTACTAGGCATCCGTCAAACCAAAGTTTCTTTGTAAAGGGCATGTTGTCTGGTGGGATAACATTGTTCCAGTAACAATGATCTCTAGTCTAATGTTGTCAAGGCCTTTCGCCAAGTTGAAAATTTTGCAGAATCTGCTTGTTTACGTTGAAAGTACGGGAGACGGTGTGTTAAACTGATATCAGATTGAAACGTTTTTTGAACACATTTATTGCCACCGTTTTCTTGCAAAAATATGTACATATACAAAAATACAAAAAGGACGTAACCCAAGCATTGAGCAGTGAACATATATCGATACTTAAAACTAATCGAATCAAACAACAAGTAAACAGATGAACATCGGCATCCGTGCGTTTCACTTGTATACCCTGTAAATCGATGTTGTACGTAGTCCCTAAATAATACGAGGATTTCTTGCAAACTGTCTTTCAGCTGTGCGCCATCAACAGCTCAAATGGCACGTTTTCCATGATTTCAGTTAATAGTCATTGCATTTAAATTAGCATCCGGTGCATCTTCGTTCTGGGCTGAGGCTTGTTGAACTGACAGTCGAACAGCTAGCTGAGTGATGTCACCCGAGATACGACGATTACGATAATTTGTTTCAAACTGCTGATCGTTGCATGTGAATGGTTTGTGCTGGTCGAACATTTACAATGACGATGGTTATCAGCAGTTGACAGACAACAGTCGAAACTAGTACGGGCCACTGGCTCCTGGTGGGCCGTAGTTGGAAGACACTCCTGCACTGCCAGTACCACCAACCCCAACACCACCGCTGATACCGCCAATTACACCGCCAGTACCGCCAACCCCAACACCACCGCCGATACCGCCAATTACACCGCCAGTACCGCCAACCCCAACACCACCGCCGATACCGCCAATTACACCGCCAGTACCGCCAACCCCAACACCACCGCCGGTAGCCCCTCCAGAGGTAATCTGAAAGAAACAAAGCGAAAGTTCTCTGAAACGGTCTGATCGTCTCTGCCGTGCGACGCATTTTTATACAGAACAATTAATATATGCGTGAGAGACTTTCTAAAATCTTCAGTAGCCTCCTCCTCAACGTGTTGAAGAACAGAACTGCATTTCCCAACGTGTCACCGTCAAGTGCGTTGACGCAGTTAAATAACTGGGAACTTTTTCGGTAAATCTTATACTCGCAGCTTCTATTTCTTTCTCTCGCATTTCTAAATTTTGTACTGAGTAAGTGCATGTGATGTCACCTCACCGGGATGCATGAAAGCAAAAATATTGTAATTTCTAGCAATTGTTAAGAGTACAGAAAATAAATTCCTGCTTAATCTTAGAAAAGAACACTTTGCTAGCGTGGTAACGGACGCATTTCGATTGTTCGCGGAAGGAGAAAGCCTTCTTAAGCTGCTAAACCCTTCTCACATATTAGAATCCAGGATACAATAATGTAGGCTAAGTATATATTTTCGCTGAAAATAACATTCAGAAAGCCTGTGAGAAGATAAGATCAAATTTTGTCCCCTAAATAAGAAACGGAATAAAGTGCGGGGTTTTAATGCCGTCTGGCCTTCCTTTGAGGCCAATTGCACATATCAGAACTCTGGTCCGTTCGTCATCTGAAAGCACAAGGACCCACAGGTCATTGTTTTCAATTCCCGCTTTTGTAGCAAAACAATAAAATAAATTATATTTTTTGTTTTTTCACACGTAACAAAAGTTTTGCTTCTACATACAGGATCTCCTTTTATCGCGTAACCAAATACCATGGGACGGACAAAACTGCTGTGAGTTCAGCGACAGACAGACATGCTGTAGAGTGTAACATCTTTCTGGGTAAACTTTGGCTTGAAAGGAAAATATCTGGCCGAATGACTCGGCAAACGACACGTCACTTTGTATTTGTGGTGCCGTTGAACGTTCAGGAGAGAACTCGTCGTGTGCGTCTGTTCAGTGCGGAGGCTTTGCCAGACAGAACTGAGCTCGGGACAGCAGGGTGATGTGCAGAAGCTCACCTGTTTCTGCGTCTTGTACTTGATGAAGTAGACCTCGGGTTTGGAGGGTTGCGTCGGGGCAGGCTGCTGTATGTTCAGTTCCTCTGCTTCGTCGGGCTTCTTGACCAGAACGTAGATAAGGGTCTTCTGCTCGTCCTGACCAGGCAGCTGGATGTTGGCAGCGGTAGGTGTGGGAGGCGTGGGGGCCTTGATGAACACGATCTTGTAGTGCTTCTGCGCTGGTCGGAACTGGGGCAGAGGCCGATTTATGTGCTCCTCCGGTTCTGGGGGCGGCACATGTACGTAAATATGCTTCTGGACGAGGGAGCCGCCGCCAAATGAAGCTCCTGAGCTAATGCTACCGGTAAATCCACCGCCAGAGAGCGAAGATAGTCCGATGTCTCCGCCTGATCCACCGGCACCGAAAGAGCTTGTTCCGATTCCA